GAATCTCAGCATCCTTTGGCACGAGGAAAGCCATGGGTGGGCAATGCGTCATGCTCGCGGATATGTGGTCGGTGGTGGTGACGCTGGATGTCCCTGGATCTGCACTGGTCTATCATGTGAAGCCCTGCAAGCCAGTGCTCTGCCGATCCTGTTTGAGCCATATGGTGAGGTACATGCACGCTTATATGGGCAAGCATCTCCTTGAATGAAAACGCTGCTTTCCCATTGGTATGGTGACAGTGCAGGAGAGCCAAGCTAGTTTGTCCTAATGGTGGAGTTGGTGGGTGCTGAATGGGTCCTGAGTCACCTGAAGGAAAGTTTCCTACTAGATGGGACTGGGGGGAAAAAATAAGCTTTGAACTAGGTCACTGAAACATCAGTCCTGAGCTTCCCAGGAGAGACCCACCTCTAACTTCATTCCTCACTAGCAAACAAATCCCAATGGGCTTGTGCTGTTAAAGGCAGCACCTTTGTTTTTGAAAGGAGATATCTGATGGCTTCACATGTTGGGACATGGGAGCTGGTCACTCTTCCTCTCTGAGAAATGATATGCAGTGCTGGAGTGCACTCATGCAGTCTCCATCTGTGTCCCTGTGCTTGGCACTGTAGCAGTCTGCTCCTCTTCCCTGTTCCCTCTCTCTTTGCCACCACCATCCACAGAAGCCCTTGGGGTGCTTTCCAGAGCTCTCTATGCAAAGAGAAGAAAAGTCGAAATAGGAAGTTCAAAGGTAACACGGCCTTGATGGACAGGATGTTTACTTGCTATTTAAAAAGTACTATCTATACATGTGGTGTTTACTTTAACAATATTTTAAACGGGAAATGTTAATATGGTTGCTTATGGCTTATCTGAGGCTGATTTCTTCAAGAATGACTGTATACTATCTTATTTGTATAACATAGGCAGAGCTTACTAAATATTTATATTAAACTACTTGCTACCTAATCATTCTTGAAACATCTTTAATAGATGCATATGTCATAATACGTATATTTTTGTTATGCGTTTGATTCAACTGTCATCTGCTGCAGAGGTTTTTAATTCCTCCTTAAGGCTATGAGTGAGGTGCTATTTGTGGAAGATCCTATTCTTAATTTTAGGGGGTGAAATCCAGAAGTTTCTGTCTGAGAAAAAAACCACCCAAGTATTTTTTATTTCTCTCTCACTCAGAACCAAACTAACACAAAGTGATGGTTTAGCCAAGGAAACTGCTGCCCTGTGCTGGGAGAGGGAGTCAGTGTATGTAGATGTGCAGAGGTTAGTGATTTAACATGCACACATCTCTTTGGAGGGGTTTTGGCTAGCTAGAGTGTACACTGTGGATTAATTCATGTGATGGGGATATATGAATCTGTGCGTACCTGCACATTTCCTCAATAACCTTCCCTCCTACAAGTCGTAATTACTGATAAGTCCCTCATTGCAGGGCTTTGTTTTATTTTTTCTTTAATTACTCACATACAGACATTTATCAGTGTTCTGTGGTGTAACAGCTTTTGCAAGGAGCAGGAAAAAAGGTATCTTGTGCCACATTTTCCAAACTGTAATTGTATGGCAGTGATGTAATTGCGAAGAAGTCCCTAGTGCGAGCACATCGGCTTTTTAGCCTGGGAAGTGGTACTGATTGACAGATGTGATTTTCAGTTTGAACGGCTGAGTTTTTAAGCTGCTTGCAGATGATGCTCTGTAAGTTGTGGATACAATACAAATAATGGCTTGTGTGTCTTTGTGTGCTGTATATAGAGGCCCACGTAAGTATTATGCATGGCCAGTTTTTCCCCTTGCCAGAGGTGTACAGGCCTGGTGAGCAATGCAGCTGCAGTTGTGTGGTTGTGCTGCAAAAAGAGAGAAGGAAGCAGGAGGAGTTATGGTGTAGCGGGACTCTGTCCACACTGCATGGCAATAGGCTGTTGGGTGGCTGGCTGGATTCATTTTGCATTTCATCCGGACTTATTTTCCATAGACTTTCCTGCACCTGGCTGGTCATTTATTCCTGTGCAAAAGAGATGTGAAGCACTGGCATTGTCCTTCCTCTGCGTTTTGTTCTCTTGGAGAACAATTTCTGGGTCTCGCTCACATATATGGGTGGGAGGTACAGGATATTCAGGTGCTGTGTGGAAGCCCTCAGCCCTAGCAAGAGCTGCTGAGCTGCTGCTGTAGGGCTTTGGGGAACAGCAGAGGGTGGAGGCCATTTCCCTAGTGAAAAATAGCTACTGTATACAACTTCGTTTACTCTTACTTTGCACAATGGAGCTCTATTTTTAGCTTTCTCTTAATTCCTTGTCGTGTAGTGAATGCTATATCTATATGCAAGTGCTGAAATAAGCCCCACACTTTGTTTCTCACTCTGTATATTCATTGCTTATACTGCAGTTACCATTCCAAATACCACATTTCACCCTTGCAGATAATATCACTAAACAGCATTGTACTCCAGTGCACACTGTTGTACATACCTTCGATTTTAATGATTTCCATCTTCTTATACATAATTAAAACTGCAAATATCCCAGAAGAAATAAGAAACAACAACAATGAAAAAATGAAGACCTGACAACACCAACCATTAGTGAGATTTATTTGCAAACTAGTATTACTTTGTATTCTTACAGTCTCTAAATTATTGTCTAGATTTTGGGGTAACTTCTCATTTGATGGAATGACTGGTGGGATCAGCCTCGTTAGGGGATTAACATCTCCCATATTCTGCAGACAATTGCATATTGAGAACTAATGTGGGACTGGAGAGAAAAGGCTCTTTCTAAACTCACTCTGCTTTCAGCACGATTGGTATATAGCCCTGAAAGTGAATGAGTGTGTGTCTGTGTGCATATGAGAAATTAATCCTTCTCAGGGTTGGATTAACTGGTGCAGAAGACCCTGGGCAGGGAGCCAAAGCAGTGTTGGCATTTGCTAAAAGTGGGGCTCCCAGAGATTATTTTGGTTCTTCTGACCTGTGGGTCAGCTGCCAATGCCCAAA